GAAGGAAACATGGGGAAGACTAGCCGGCATGGCTAGGAGGATATTTTTAAAAAAGCAAAGTTGGGAAGACTAACCAGCATGGCTCGGAGGGTACTTTTTAGAAAGAAAATTGGCACAGCTAGTAGCCTAGCATGAATAGTGAACGAAGTTTACGTGAGGCCGTACAAACGCAGCGTGGAAAATTTCAAGGATTGTAAGGAACGGATCATTAAAACATACACCGAAAGTGAAGTAGTTTATAGGTTAGTATAAGTAGTAAGGAATGCCGGCATGTAAAAGCTCTTACCAGTCTGTTTTGGTAAATTTGACAAGAAACCAGAAATTTGTCTAAAAAGCGAGACTCATCAGGTACAGTTCGCTAGACCTTGGGTAGGTTTCGTCTCGAGACTGTACGACCTACCCCGTAAGAACTTTTACGTGTTGATGTTATATAAGTTATACTTATAGCTCTAATAATCATATAATACCTTCAACTAAAATAAATAATTCAATTCCAGGCAAAAAAGATTTTCGTTCGTTCTGTCGTTTTACTTGTTGCCATCTTTGTGTCTGTAAACATTTGTATCCCCTCGTGCTGAGCTTGGCAATGATTGGATCTTTATAACTGGTCGTCAAGCTCATTTAAAGGCACTTTCCGAGCGGTTTAAACCCCCTTTCTCCACGAGGATCGTCTGATCGTCTGACGTATCGTGAGGTACGCCTAGGACAGCTATAGACCTTATGTTTGTAGCAATACGAAAACCCAATTTTCCTTCTAAAAAATATCCTCCTAGCCATGCTGGTTAGTCTTCCCCATTTTTCCTTCTAAAAAATATCCTCCTAGCCATGCTGGTTAGTCTCCCCAATGTTCCTTCTAAAAAATATCCTCCTAGCCATGCTGGTTAGTCTTCCCCAATTTTCCTTCTAAAAAATATCCTCCTAGCCATGCTGGTTAATTTTCCCCATTTCTCCTTTTAAAAATATCCTCCTAGCCATGCTGGTTAGTTTTCCCCAATGTTCCTTTTAAAATATCCTCCTAGCCATGCTGATTAGTCTTCCCCAATTTCCTTTTAAAAAAAATTAAAACAAAATAATAATAATAAAAAAAAAAATTCAATAAAAAAATAAAAAATAAAAAATAAAAAATATAATTTAAACCCCCTTTTTTTTTTTTTTTTTTTTTTTTTTTTCGTATTGCTACAAACATAAGGTCTATAGCTGTCCCTAGGCGTACCTCACGATACGTTTTCGTATTGCTACAAACATAAGGTCTATAGCTGTCCCTAGGCGTACCTCACGATACGTCAGACGATCAGACGATCCTCGTGGAGAAAGGGGGTTTAAACCGTTCGGAAAGTGCCTTTAAATGAGCTTGACGACAGTTATAAAGATCCAATCATTGCCAAGCTCGGCACGAGGGGATACAAATGTTTACAGACACAAAGATGGCAACAAGTAAAACGACAGAACGAACGAAATCTTTTTTGCCTGGAATTGAATTATTTATTTTAGTTGAAGGTATTATATGATTATCAGAGCTATAAGTATAACTTCCATTAGATTTTTTTTTTTTTTTTTTTTTTTTTTATTATATTTTTTTTTTTTTTTTTTTTTTTTTTTTTATTGATTTTTTTTTTTTTTTTTTATTATTATTTTGTTTTAATTTTTTTTAAAGGAAATTGGGGAAGACTAATCAGCATGGCTAGGAGGATATTTTTTATAAGGAACATTGGGGAAAACTAACCAGCATGGCTAGGAGGATATTTTTTAAAAGGAAAAATGGGGAAGATTAACCAGCATGGCTAGGAGGATATTTTTTAGAAGGAAAATTGGGGAAGACTAACCAGCATGGCTAGGAGGATATTTTTTAGAAGGAACATTGGGGAAGACTAACCAGCATGGCTAGGAGGATATTTTTTTAGAAGGAAAAATGGTGAAGACTAACCAGCATGGCTAGGAGGATATTTTTTAGAAGGAAAAATGGGGAAGACTACCAGCATGGCTAGGAGGATATTTTTTAGAAGGAAAATTGGGGAGACTAACCACAGCATGGCTAGGAGGATATTTTTTAGAAGGAAAATTGGGGAAGACTAACCAGCATGGCTAGGAGGATATTTTTTAGAAGGAAAATGGGGAAGACTAGCCGGCATGGCTAGGAGGATATTTTTAAAAAAGCAAAGTTTGGAAGACTATCCAGCATGGCTCGGGGGTACTTTTTAGAAAGAAATTGGCACAGCTAGTAGCCTAGCATGAATAGTAAAGGAAGTTTACGTTAGGCCGTACAAACGCAGCGTGGAAAATTTCAAGGATTGTAAGGAACGGATCATTAAAACATACACCGGAAAGTGAAGTAGTTTATAGGTTAGTATAAGTAGTAAGGATGCCGGCATGTAAAAATTCTTACCAGTCTGTTTTGGTAAATTTGACAAGAAACCAGAAAATTGTCTAAAAAGCGAGACTCATCAGGTACAGTTCGCTAGACCTTGGGTAGGTTTCGTCTCAATAAAAAAAATCTAATGGAAGTTATACTTATAGCTCTGATAATCATATAATACCTTCAACTAAAATAAATAATTCAATTCCAGGCAAAAAGATTTTCGTTCGTTCTGTCGTTTTACTTGTTGCCATCTTTGTGTCTGTAAACATTTGTATCCCCTCGTGCTGAGCTTGGCAATGATTGGATCTTTATAACTGTCGTCAAGCTCATTTAAAGGCACTTTCCGAGCGGTTTAAACCCCCTTTCTCCACGAGGATCGTCTGATCGTCTGACGTATCGTGAGGTACGCCTAGGGACAGCTATAGACCTTATGTTTGTAGCAATACGAAAACGTACAGTCTCGAGACGAAACCTACCCAAGGTCTAGCGAACTGTACCTGATGAGTCTCGCTTTTTAGACAAATTTCTGGTTTCTTGTCAAATTTACCAAAACAGACTGGTAAGAGCTTTTACATGCCGGCATTCCTTACTACTTATACTATACTAACTATAAACTACTTCACTTTCCGGTGTATGTTTTAATGATCCGTTCCTTACAATCCTTGAAATTTTCCACGCTGCGTTTGTACGGCCTCACGTAAACTTCGTTCACTATTCATGCTAGGCTACTAGCTGTGCCAATTTTCTTTCTAAAAAGTACCCTCCGAGCCATGCTGGTTAGTCTTCCCAACTTTGCTTTTTTAAAAATATCCTCCTAGCCATGCCGGCTAGTCTTCCCAATGTTTCCTTCTAAAAAATATCCTCCTAGCCATGCTGGTTAGTCTTCCC